TGTTATTAGAATGAGATCATAAACTATAATTTTCCTGTCTCAGAATAAAATTCACATTGTCGGTGCGTTTGTTTTCAGTAAATAAAAATTACTCATCAATATTAAGTGGTCGAATACATAACATTATCATGTATATATCTTACAACGACAATCTTCTGATACCAGTAAGTACTGAGTAATACATAAATGCGTATTATTTTGCTAATTACTCACGTAATCGTAGTAAACTGGAAAGGTTTGCTGATAATCTGGGTGGGCTGTTGCCCCCTATCGTATTATAATAATTTTACGATAAATATTGAACACATAAAAAGAGATCTGTTTTTCAAAATTGAACCTAAAAGCCTTCACTCAGCAGTCACATTTGCTTACGCGACTATAAATGTGGCAGCCGAATTTTTTATATGAAAACATTGCCCTGCATTCGGATTTTGTCCTGTGTCGTGGGTACATTTACAATTTGACTTTGACTTTGACTTTCCGTGCGGGAATGGAACTCGCGACACGTAGCACGGTAGCCGGTTGCCCGGCCACCGTGCCAACCGGGCAATCAATTATCTAGTATTTAGTTAGCACTCATTGTTTGTTGATGTAGGTTATAGTCATAGAGGTGAACTCAAATAGCAGAATGACCAGTTGAAACAAGATATTATTTAAAGAAAATATAGCATACTTTCCTTTAATTTTTTTTTATGGAATAGGAGGCAAACGAGCAGGCGGATCACCTGATGGTAAATGATCAGCGCCGCCCATGGACACCCGCAACACCAGAGGAATCACAGGTGCGTTGCTGGCCTTCTAAAAAGGAGTACGCTCTTTTCTTGAAGGTTTGAAGGTCGTATCGGTTCGGAAATACCGCCGACGACAGATCGTTCCACAGTTTTACTGTGCGAATTTAAATTCTAAATTTTTTAATTACGTATTAATTAAAAAATGTAGAAAAAAACTGAAGAAATCTATTCATCAGTGGGCGATGACTAACTGGAATGATGGTGGTAATGATCATGAATCTACGAGGTTTCGAAGCTATATGCATAATTGTAACTGAAAGTCCTGACTCATGTATTTTGATTTATTTTTATCTCCTCGTTTTATTCTTATCAAAATGTAGCTCTTTATCAGATGAATCATCCATCTACTTTAGGAATAGAAAGTACTTTCGTTGTGAGGTTAAAATCATAATATTTGCAATGATAGAAACGAGTCTTACTAGAGTATTAAAAAATTGAGTAGGCTGCGCGATATCGCTGCCACCGCGCACGCTGTAAGCAGCGTGAGTGACGTGAAGTCCTCATGAGTCAGGAAGAGCCCCTCTGTACTCGAAACTAGTAGAGCTTCTCTCAGTATATTCACATGAGTTACCCGCGATTTTTAATTAGTTTTGTAGTTCTCATGATTGATGTTATAAAAAGATAGAATTTTATACGTAAAACTGCCACTTTCAAAAGTTGTGATTTTAATTTAAGTTCAAAAAAATCACACACCTTTTTGTATTTTCTAATGACATCGTTATTAAATAATTGATATAATATTATAAAAAGGTACAATAGGTAGATTACGTTTGTCTCCGCGTTGGTATTGAATGTGAGACACTCACCAGCACGTGGGCAGTACAAAGATTTGTATGTTTGAAATAGTTATTCATATGCAAATTGTACCTATAGATTGTTTTCAATGGAAATTTATTTATTATAAAGTATTACTGGGTTTTAAAAAAAATCTCTGTAGTAGCACGGGGTCTGGAAATGTGCCCGGTATATGGCAATAAGTTCACCCCTATTACATAATATAAATAGTGAAAAGTGGGTGCTACATTGCACAATGGTATTAAGTGTCATAATGTGCACGTCTGCTTACCACAACGGGGATATAACGCGTGATGTTATGTTATGTTATGAAAATTTATTTATAATGAGTACGTGTGAAGTTAAATAAACGGCTGTTTCTTCATTTATATTGAAACTTTCGTGAGACATACTAAATGAATTTGCAATATTTTCGGTTTACCCACGTAATTGTTTGACGAGGAACTCGACTAGTTTCAAGCCATGCTAGAGGCTCATATAACTCGAGTTCCTAGTCAAACAGTTACGTGAGTAAGCCGAAAACACAACAATTAACTCGTCGAGTACCGTCATTATAGACACAATAATAGAACAATAGGTTGCGGTCACCGGTGTCCTCGCGGTGTTTGACAGTTTAAAGAACAACAGGTTGCGGTCACCGGTGACCGCTTGGTGTTTGACAGTTTAATGCTATTTCTTCGTTAGTTTTGTTTCTGCATTTAAAAAATCTCACTTTGTGGTTGCTTGGAGTCGTAGGACTGTACCCCGTGATGATCGTGTGTGACTGAGTCCAACATGATTGGAAAAGTAATTAGTACTACAAAAACTATTGACCTATTGGATCTTTACGATATAAAGTACATCACATCTTATCAGCTGTTAAACAATTGTTATTAATATAATAATCCATTTCTCAAGTACTTCAATACTTCATTAATGGTACTTCAATACTTCAGATTCAAGTGTACATTGGAATGAGAAATTCCAATGACGTACGAATCTGACTATGACTAACCTCATAGATATGATATTCAACACTAGCTTCTGGCCGCGGCTTTACCCGCGTTCCCGTAGAATAAAAAGTAAAAAGTGTAACGAATGGAGTTTCTTGCTCATTCTTCTCCATTCGAATCTAAATTTTGAAATGAGCACCTAGCTTTACTGACAGACGGACTGGCAGACTTTATTTTGTATTTGTTGACGT